GGTCTCTCAGGAGGTTCCCAAAACGGCCCAAAGAGCGCCAAGAAACCCCAAGGGGCACCCAAATGACACACGAGAGGCCCCCAAGCGGCCCCCGAGGGGCCTCACAGAGCCCAAGATGACCTTCAAGATCTTAAGATAGCCCAAGCTAGCTCCAGATGGGCCCCAAGATGCTCCAAGAGGCCCTAAGACCGCTCCAAGACTGCTCAAGGTGGCCGCGGAGCTTCCCCAGGAGGCCACCAAGAGGCTGCCCGCCCCCGCTGTTTGACTACGCGTGTCTCTTCCTCTCTCCCCCTGTCAGCTCGCATGGTCAGCGAGCGTTTCTGGATGGGCTGGCTGGTGGAGATTTTTTTTTCGTCGCGGCCGCAAGCGGAAGCGCAGGCGGCGTCCGAAGTCAGCCCGGGCTACGAGCCTAACCTAGTTACCGAAGCTCGCGGACTAACGGCCGCCGAAACTGCCGCCTAGGAGCGCCGAGGAACGACGCCGGGGACCGAAGGCAAAGCTGCAAGCGGTGCCAGGTGTGCCAGGCGGCTGAGGCGCAACCATTCCAGGGGCGATACTACCGCGAAGGCAAACGAATTGTACCTTGTCGCGCCAGGCGCAATGGGTAAACGAGCCACCCGAACAAAGCACGGCATAGCGTGGGGCTGAGCAGGCAGCCCACCGTACCTGTGTCGCATGCCAACAGTGGCGACCTCAGGTGGTTGAACAATAAAGATAAACCACTCATGAGCAATCCACGCGGAGATGCACCCCACCCTTGCGCAGCTGCAAACACGGCCAGGCTGTGGCAGTGTCTGGGGACCAGGGGCCATGAACACGCGAGCATGCTAGCTGGAGCTGGTCGACGTGCAAGTCACCGGAACGGCTGGTGGGGACACTTTTTCGGTCGCGGCCGCGAGACGACGGTCAGGCGGCGAAAGCAAAGTCGGGGACGCGAGCTAGGCGAATTAGCTAGGACAGGCGCAGGCCGGCCGGCCCACTCAGACTGCAGCTGCGGGCTGAGTGAAGCTGAACTGATCGGCGCACTGCAAGCTCGGGCACGTGCGTTGGACAAAATGACCAGAATTCAAGCGGCCAAGGCACAACCCGCACAGATTGGACGCGGACCTCGGTGGGCAAGTCTTTGTGCATGGTGAAGACGTGCTGGCCATTGGAGTGAGTCACCAATGTGGCGCCAGGCTCCAAACGGACGACCTGAGCTAGCCAAGCAGGCTAAGCAGTCGTGAGCCGTGGTGCAACGCACAGGGGAGGCTGAAGGTGGGCCTGTAGGACTGCACCTGTTGCGGAAGGCTGGATCACTCTGTACCATGGCCAGCCCCAGTCAGACCACATCACAGTATCGGGGGGTAACCGAGCGACTGTGAGCCATCCAGCGCGTGTCGGCACGGCAAGGCCACTGAGTGTGGGGCTGGTGGGGACACGCGAAGCGTCAAGAATTCGCCTCTTCCTCCTCCGACTCAACTTCGCGCTGCTGCTTAATCTCTCGCTCCTGCTCCTACACCTGCAACAACACCTACAACATCCTCCAACCCCCGCCGTTTCTGACAACACCTAGTTTAAATGCGGGCGGCTCCAACCTAACCGTCAGAAAGCAAACGACTTGTCTACATTAATCCGTTCAACTCACGCGATTAGTCAGCGACGTAACAACTGGTGTGGTCAAGATGAGACGCAGGGCGCATCCCGTGCGATTGAGCGAAGCGTCGCAGCCGTTCCAGCGACGAAGTGAAATGTCCTGGAAGATTGCTGTCGCTGACTAAGCCCTTATGCCATTGCGCGATGCCTGGCAAGACCTTTGGAATCCGGGCCAAGCACATCAACTCGGAACGTTGCTCTCGCTATCTCTCACTCTCTGCTTCTTTCTCCTCCGTTCCCCACACGCCTCCTCTCTGTATACACCCCTCTCTCTCCCCCTCTCCCCGTTTTTTGTTTTTGTTTTTGTTATGTTCTCTCTCTCTCGATGCATGAATATATAGATGTGTAGGTATCTCCCTCCCTCTCTCTCCCCTTCTCCGTTTGTCTCTCTCTCTCTCTGTCTCGCCCGTGTCGGTTTGCTCTCTCTCTCTCTCTCTCGTTCTCCCTTTCTCACTCTCTCTCTCTCTGTCTTTCCCCCCTCCCCCCCTCCCTCTCTCATTCTCAATTTGACTCTCGCACTCTCTCGTTCTATCTCTCCTTCTCCCTTCTCAGCCCTGCGAGCAACGTGGCCGCTTTGGCACGGCGCACGCCGCCCGCGCACCGGGCCCATCCGAATCGGTGCCGCGGTGCAAGCCGACAACCATTGTAGCACGTAGGTGCGTTTAGCTATATGTCGTTACCGCCGCCAGCCAGTGTTAGGCCCCACTCACGGTGACCATCACTTTGACATCGAGTGGAAACCCACGCGGGAAAGTGGAGTCAGGATTGGGTGTGCGGCCAGCACCTGATATTTTCCAATCGGGCATGCGAGTCCTGCTTCATGTTCGCTCCGCGCGGGGGCTCGCGCATTATTGTGGTCCAGTAGCGGGCGTTGACGTCCACAAATATTCCTGCTCTTCCCCACTCCCCCTGACGCCCTGAGGGTGCGAGGGTCAGCCTTGAACAACAAATTACTCCGACGGTAGGACCCGACGGCCAATCTGGAAGTAACCCACGGACGCAAGCAAAATAACGAGCGGAACGTGACGTGTGGCAGAAAGAAGCAACCACGACGAAAGAAACCGAAGTGAAAATACCGAGACGCCAGGATCGCAGGACCTCGGGACCCCGACGCGAAACCGAATTGGGGAAACTGCAGCTGGTTTCAGGGACGCGGGCCCCACCCCCGCGCATGCGGCCAGCGGCGCGCAGGGCAGGGGAGCGACGGAAACCCACGTCCTTTCATGAGGCCAGAGGCTCCCGCGTGGAAAAAAACTGCGCGGCCAGAGGCTCGCGCAGCTGACGATGCCAGAGGCTCTCGTCGTACACCTGCGTTGCCAGAGGCCCACGCAGCTGACGAGGCCAGGGGCTCTCGCCGTCGACTGCATGAGAACCAGCTGTGCGGCCAGAGGCTCGCGCAGCTGACCAGGCCAGAGACTCTCGCCGACGCTGGCTGGATCATACAGAAGTCGTGCGCGGCCAGACGCACGCATACCCTGACGAGGCCAAAAGGCTCTCGCCTCGCTGAAAGCCCAGCGTGGCCAGAGGCACGCGCAGATGTCGATACCAGCGGCACTCGCGGGACCCCTGCTTGGGATCCGCAACCAAGCCGTCCCAGTAGCCCCCCGGGCAGCCCCCAACAGAGCCCAATATAGAATCCCCGAACAGCACCCAACAACACCCAAGAGGACACCACAAAACCCCGAGGCACGTGAAAACCTCCAGGAGACTCCCACGAAGCCTTCCATGAAGCTTCCATGAAGCCCACAAACCGCCCCGGCGTCGCCACGGCATGATTCCGGCACGCGGGCCTATGACAGTAACACATTGGCCGACGACCAGCTCGGACGAGGCTACCCGCAATTCGCTCACAAACGAGGCTCCCGCCTCGCACTTCCCCAAGATTCCTCAGGAGCCCCAAAATAACAGCCATTACAGGTTTCCGATGACCCGCTCGGATTACTCATGTGAGCTGCGGGCCCCATATAGAGAGGGGGCTCCCGCCTGAGACTTCCTCGCGATTGACTCACAGACGAGGCTCCCGCCTGATACATCCTCCAAATTCAAGCTTCAGGGGCCCAAAAATAACGACAGTTGCAGGAGGCCGATGACCCGCTCGGATTACTCACGTGAGCTGCGGGCCCCTGAGGCTTCCTCGCGCTCCCGCCTGATACTTCCTCCATCTGCAGGCCTCAGGGGCCCAAAAGTGACGACAGTTGCAGGAGGCCGATGGCCCGCTCGGATTGTTCGTATGAGCTGCGGGCCCCATGGGGAGGGGGCTCCCGCCCGAGACTTCCTCGCAGTTCACTCGCAGACGACGCTCCTGCCTTATACCTCCTCCAAATTAAAACCTCAGGGGCCCAAAAGTGACGACAGTTGCAGGAGGCCGATGACCCGCTTGGATTACTCATATGAGCTGCGGGCCCTACAGGGAGGGGGCTCCCCCCGGAGCCTTTCTCGCAATTCACTCGCAGACAACGCTCCCGCCTGATACTTCCTCCACATGAAGAGCTCAGGGGCCCAAAAGTGACAACGGTTGCAGGAGGCCGATGACCCGTTCAGATTACTCAGATGAACTGCGGGCCCTATAGGGAGGGGGCTCCCGCCTGAGACTTTCTCGCAATTCACTCACAGACGAAACTCCCGGCTGATACGTCCTCAAAATGAATGCGTGCGCGCGTGAGTGGTGATGATGATGATGATGATGATGATGATGATGATGATGATGATGATGATGATGATGATGATGATGATGATGATGATGATGATGATGCGCGTGCGGATGACGATGTGAGTGATGATGATGCTTGTGATGTAAGTGGTGGTAATGATGATGACGATGATGACGATGATGAGGGTGGTGGTGATGAGTGTGTAAGTGATTGAGTGACTGATGATGAAAATGATGTAATGAATGATGATGAAGAGGTTGATGGTGTTATGATGATGATGATGATGATGATGATGATGATGATGATGGTGTGTCTCATTGAATGAGTGGGTGTGCGAAAGGAGAAGAGCTCATCAGGTCTGTGTCGACTCATTGGGTGAATGACTGAAGACGATGATGATGCTCACGATGATGTGTGTGAGTGAGTGGGTGTTCCTGTGTTCCTGCGCGGGGTGTCACAATAACCCCACTTTGGATGTGAGGAAACCGATGGGCGCAGAACGGTGAGGCCGACGACAGAATGGAAAAAAGAAGGGCAGGACACCAGCATGCATATTGTCCAGGGCTGCTGGAACCACATGAGCAATGAGATCCAGCCGTCCACACCCCTCCTTCGCTTGTCCGCCCCCACCCTCCAAGAAGGCTCAGTCTCGCAACCCCTGCGGTGGTGGCAGCCCTGAACTGCGACACTTCGGATTCGGCCGTTCCGGCGCGATCACACGGAGTATCCGTACGAGCACTTGTTCTCAGTGAAGCGAACCTTCGGCAACTGTGAGAGGTCTGTGCGAAGATGACACTCTGCTGAGCACTTGACCTTCAGCACGTTTACGCTGGCGGTGGTGCGCCCGTCGACCACCAGGCGGAGCTGGCTCCCTGACTGCAGCATCTCCTGCAGCATCATCATGCCCACGTTCGGGGGGACATTGTCCACATCCACCTGGACACTGAACTGCGTTGACCCTCTTGCTGGCACCGTAGTAGGCAGAGTATCGGCAGCACCGATCTCCTCGCCTCTGTACCGTATCTTGAAGACGCCTGAGGATGAGGAGAAGAGCAGGGCAGACACCCGACGTGCGTCCGATGACACCAGCGCTCTTGAAATGGCGACGCACTTCGAGCAAGATGCTTACACCTCGGACGCACAAGAATTGAGCAGGGACCGACCGTCCTGGCCTTCCTATAGTCCTACCACGAAATGTTCTTAGAACCCAAAACTGTTCTAAGAAAAAACAATGTTCTTAGAACATAAGCCCGATGTGATACAACAAAACAGTCTCAACCAGACATGTTCTAAGAACATTTCGTGGAGACCACAAAAGGTTCTTAGAACATTGTTTGGTAGGCCTATAGGCACGCCAGGACGCTTCGCCACTGCTTGAAAGAAAGGCGGAGAACAGTTCCCCAGCACGCGCAGTCCTGCGCGCGAGCGAGGCGGCAACCCATCTGCGACCGGATGCACGTCGAGAGGCATCGAGGACGGGGGGAAGGGGAGGCCGTCGGAGGGGGAGGGAAGAGGACGAGGGTCCCGAAGACTGACGGGGCCCTGGGACACACACACACACACACACACACACACACACACACACACACGCACACACACACAAATAAGCGCACAAGTAGCAGGATCCCCCACATTTCCCATATCTTTTCTGGGTTCTTGTCTCCCCCCCCCCACACTTCCCAGATTTCTTCCCACATCATCCTGGGGGATCGACGATGAAGTGTGTCTGTGTGTGTTTTTCCCCTCCTGGAGGACGCCTGGGTCCACCTGGGCGCCGATGGGGTTCGGGTTGAACACCTCCACCGCCGCCCGCAGCGCCATCTTCACGGTGGTCGGCTGCTTCTGGCCTCGGCCGGCGCCCGGGCCCGGGGTCACACGCCCCCCGGCGCGCGCGCGCGCGCCGTCGGCAGGCGGCGACCTGGGAGGCGGAGGCGGAGGAAGGGTCGGGTCGGGCGAAAGGGAGGAGCGCGCCGACGAGGCTGCTGCTGCCGACAGCGGAGGCGCAGTGCGTGCGTCGCGAGGCGTAGCGGCGCGGTGCCGGGAGGCTCTGAGGTGAGGGGCCCGCCCTGCTCGCCGCCCCGGGAGGGGGCGTGGCCCGCTGGCGTCGGCCACCAGGCAGGCTTATCGGGTCGGTCGAAAGGGAGGGATAGCGAAGGGGGGGGGTTTGAGACTCAGCTCACGTGGCTGATTTTCCCGGCGCCTCCCGGCGCTGGAGGCGGCCATGCATCGAGGAATGGGCCCCTCGGTGGGGCCGAAACCAGCTGCATGCAGCAAATTTCGTACCCCCCCCTTTCCCAATCCCCCCCTTTCGTCCGGCCCGAAAGGGGCCCTGGGACACACACGTAATTACACACACAAATAACAGGATCCCCCACATGTTCCCCATCTTTTTTCTTGACTTTTCTCTTCCCCCCCACTTCCCATATGTTCCAATCTTTTCTGGGGAATCGACGATGAATTGTGTCTGTATGTGTGTGTTTTGATTCCCTCCTGAGTGGAGGAAGGGGGAGGGGAGGGGACGGTTTGGGGCAAGGGACTAGGTCGGGCATGTCCTCCTACACGCAGAGCTTGGAGGAAGGATGAGAAGTCCAAAAGATATGCAAAAGTGCCCAAACGTGCTCAAAGCATCGGCCCCAGACCAGGTTTTGACTGTTTCTGAATATTTTCCCTGTGGAGGGGCACGCCCGACTTCAGCATGGGATGGTGAAGGGGGGGGGGGCCAAGAGGTGGAGGAGGGGGAGGCGGAGGGGCAGGACGCAGAGGGAGAGGGGCGCCGTTGCAGCCGCGGAGAAGCACACAGGGGGGGGGGGAAGGAGGGCGCCGGGGGAGAGAGCAGGAGGAGGCGACAGAGCGATGGGGGAGCAGAAGGAGGGACCGCCGCGCCAGTTGCGCGCCGCTCGGGTGCAGCACCTCCGCGTCTGCCACTGTTCTGGCACCGCGTCTGGCTGCTTCGGCGAGCGCTGCTGCCACTGAGAGCAGCCACAGGCGCAGACAAGGAGGAGCGGGAGCAGGATAAGAACTTTCATTTCTATTGATTCAAGTACAATCGACATTGTTGATGATGATTATTTTCTACTCACTTCCTCTCTATTTTGGTCGTCTAATTGCCGCAACGAGTTTGATTCTTGTTTTGAAATAGCAGGGGGTCGGAGGATCGCAGAGGAGCAGGAGCAGGGGGCGAGGGCGAGGAGCCATGCGGGCAGGCGAGAAGGACGAGGGAGGGCAACAGCGAGGGTGGAAGCAACAACAGAAGAGATGAGAAGGTGACAGCACGAAGGAGGGGACGAGGCATGATATAATCACGGGGAGGAGGTGGATGAGCAGCCGGAGCAGGTGGGCGAGGAAAAGGAAGAACAGAAAAGGGGGAGTCTGATAATGATGGAGGAGGAGGAGGGAGAGGAGAAGGAACGTGAGGACGTAAGGACGACGAGCAGGAAGAGGACGATACGATGATGTCCAGGAAGAGGAGGAGGAGGAGGAGGAGGAGGAGGAGGCGCAGGAGGGGAGGAACAATGAGGAACGCGCGGAGGAAGAAGAGGAGGAGGAGGAAGAAGAGAAGGAGGAAGAGGAGGCGCCACATCAAATTCACTTCGCCGAACGGATGGTGCCGTACACCCTTCCATCGCCGCAATCCCCCCCTCGTAAGTATACGGAACCTATCACTCTCACCGCGGCGGGCGCCCGCTTGAAGGTGCAAGGGGCGCCTATGGGCTTGCATCCGGTGACTCTTGGCGGACTGGAGTTCGAATTATCTGACGGCCATGCCGCGTGTGCGGGACGAGAGCTTAGCGGAAGTGTCAAGGTCGCCACACCAAGACAAATGGCCTTCGAATGGTTGGACTCGCAAGGGCAATGTCTTCACCTCCAGGAAGGCCCATGATGGCCGCAGTGCGTTGTTTTTGAGCTGCTGTTTCTCAATGGGGTCTTGGCTTCTGTTGGCGCCAAGGGGTACTTGCGCGGCGCACAGCCAGGCTGCGCCATTCAGCGCGCGCGGAGACGCGCGCGGTCATGAGGCGCGGCGCAACTGGCAGACACGCCCATAGGCGGCCACGCCGGACCAGGGCCGTTCGCAAGCGCGCGGGGGCAATGTCAAACACACCCGTACAATCACGTCTGCCCAAGGGCGGCGGGGAGAGCCCGCGCGCGCGCCCACCCGCGATCGCAGCTGACTACGAGGCGCCCGCGGGAGGCTTCAATCAGGGGCACGCAGCTCAGGCCACCTACGCGAGCGCAGAAGCGCCCGCCGACCCCCCCTTCCCCCGCAGCTTCCAAACGTTCGCGCGTGGCCACGCACCGCCTCGCAGGCGAGCGGAAGCCTCGTCCAAGAGGCCCCCTGCTTCCACATTCCCTCGCGCGGCGAGGCGCTCATAGGTGCCGGGCGACTGCGCGACGCTCGAAATCCCCCCTCGTCGCGCTCGCCCGGCCTTTTTTTCACATCTTCGCCGACCCTCCTTCCGCGCAACCATCCTCCCCAACTCCCACCTATATTCCCACCCCCATTCCCCATGTTCCCGCGCCCCCGCCCGCCGGCCCATCCGTCCGAGTGAGGAAAAGGACGAAACAATACAAGAGCACTTGCGAGCCAATGGTTCGGGATGTCTTTGCGGCCGAGCTGCGACAGCAGCAATGAATATGGAGACAAACATGGTCTCTCTCTCTCTCTCTCTTTCTCTCTCTCTCTCTCTCTCTATATATATATATGTTGGCTCTGTGAAAGCTTTGGGAAATGCCTACCAGCGGCCCAGCGTGGGAAGTCCTCTGGCCTAGGGAAGGACCACACCTGGGGAAAAGTGGCCCCTACATGGCCCTCCAAAGGCACCTTTCCCCTTAGAGCTGAATTTCAAATCTATAGGTCGCAATCCATTCAATCACTCACCTGATTCACTCGCTGCCTGGCGCAGCCAGCCTGTCAAACAGCTGTCTGACATACCCTCATTAGAGGAGGGGGGAGGGTCAAGAAGGGGGAAGTGGACTCAACGGAAGAGAGCGGGAGGTCTCCTGGCATCCGGCGGACTTGCGAAGCCCTCTGAATTAGGGTAGTCACGCTGAAATTAAAATCCACAGGGGCTCCAGGCTTAAAAAACACCCAGAAGCTCCTAGTGACAAGCGCAGTATTCTAGAATAGGCCTGGAGGATCTAGGCTGAGGGGTATCAAGGGAGGCCTCACTCTGTATCCCAGTGAACATAATTTCGCGCATGCTGTCGGGTCCTGTTCTGGCGGTCAGCCTTGCCCTGGGCCCCTCACGCCCATGCCGCCCTTCTTGTTGACCTGCTTCTGGACGTCCTCGCGAGAAAGCCCAATGCGCGCCAGAAGCTTCTCCGCGTCCCTCTCCATGGCCCACCGCGGCGCCGACCCTGGTTTGAACGTGCCTTTCTGGTGTTTGACCGCTCTGCAGATCGCCTGGTGAGGACTGATCTGGCCCTGGCCCGCTTCGCCCTCGGTGTTGATCGTCTGCTGCGCTGGCGCCACCATGGGCTGAAACTTGTGCATCTGCGAATCTTACTGTTGCTTTGAATCGAAGTAACACCCCCGAAGACGAAGAGACCGAAGGTGCCCCTGAACCGCGCGCAGCGCTGCGCCCTTGCTCATCTGACCTGCCGCGTCCCAGTAGGCCGCGAGGGCCTTGGCGCACTCGCTCGCCCCGCCAGCTCGCGACTCTTCTGCAGCGCGAGGCGGCGCAGGATGGCAGTGAGCGCTGCGAGCGCCCCCCCGGGCCCCTCTTTGTCTCGAGGTGCCTCCTCTTGAATTGTGGCTAGCTCTGTGTCTGAGCCCGCTGGCGAGTCTGCCAGTCCCTCGCGCTCCCCCTTGGGCTCAATGAGCCAGCCTGGCGCCTGCAGGGCCGCCGCTGCCGTCGCCCGCGGTAGGGGGTAACGCGACATGGAAACGACCGCGCCGCAACAGATCTGAAACGGTAGCGTGTTGGGCCTCGCATAACGGACATCCAAGAGTATGCGCCATGCTGGGCAGGACTGCCGAAATTCTGGAGTAACGCAAACTCCTGCCATTCAGCTCTGGGCAACGCGCCAGCACTCCGAACTCTTGGACTCGAAGAACCTCTCCCAAACAAAGCGCTCGTTGGAGCAGAGATGGCCAGCGCCGAGACCGAACGGTGGCCATGGTGAATTTGGGTCTTGACCAGGAGCTCGCGCTCGCTATGGGCGGCTGCGGGACACCCGCGGGCAGCGCATGGGAACTCAGCCAGCGTGGGGGGCTCTCGCGATTAATTTTGCGCTGCGGACGTGGGAAACCACCCGGGCGGGGGGATGCGCACTCCAGGCCATCGCGCTCTGAGGATCTCCGGGTCAAGTGAGGCGAACCAATCAACGAGCTCGGCGGAAGTGAAAAGGCGGGAGGGAGCGCCGTTTAACTCCTCGGTCCTTTCGATTTCAGCGCCCCCAAGCATCGCGAAGAGGGGTTAGATCTGTCGCGAGCCTACGCGCCGAGGGTCAATCACCTTCAGATAGCTGACCGATTACATTCAAAATGCTGCCCCCAAACTCATCGCCCACCTCCATGGCCCCAAGGGCGCCCCCCCCAACCCTGCCGCGCGTATGTTCGGCTCGCGCGCCCATGGCTGATGCCGTTCAATGCGACGGGCTTTGCATTGTACTTCCAGTAGTGCGGTGTGCCCATCTGTTATAATTGCATCGTTAGATACAGATCCATTTGTGTTCCACTAAAGTTCGCCCCCCCCCCCCCCCGCCCCGCCCGCCCCCGCCCCGCGCGCGGCTTTCCTGTCGCGCAGCGAGATTCGCACCTGGATCTTCTCGTAATGGGTAGCAGGCAGGACGCGCGCTTCCATGCCAGACAACGCTGGGCCAAAGACGCGACTGCGGAAGACTGCTC